TTTTAATCTTATTTTATTCACATTTCCCTTTTTTATTTCCTTACAATTTTTCATAATTATAAACCATCAAAATTTCAATTTAAAATTCAAAATTCGTGGAGATTCAGTGGAATTTGTTTGAAAGAGTTTCTATACTCAGGCCTTGGTTTTCACATAATTTTTACACATAGATTTTCGCTAAAACCCATTCAAATGTATTCTGTAAGAGGAGAAGCGAAAGAATCTCGAAGTATTCAAAATTAACGAGCGTGAACAACAGCCATTTGTGCTGGCAAAGCTGCCGATGAAAACGCATTTTTTTTTTAGCGAAAAGAGCGTAAAATTCGCCAGAAAAACATTAAATTTGGCAAAAAAAAAAGAGAAATCTTGCTCAATTCATGTAAAATTTGGCCAGAAAAGCACTAGAACCGGGCAAAAAACTACAAAACTTGACCAGAAGTGGAAGATGTAAGGGATGAAATTTGGTCAGAACAACGTAGGGTCCGATCAGCAAAGTGCGAGAGGGCGCTAATCTTGGCCCGAAATTCACAAAATTTGAGCGGAGGAGTGCAAAATGGAGCGAGAAATGCGTAGAATTAAGTTAAAAAGGAGATGAAGTTTGGCCAAGTGCATATCACCGAGCCAAAAAAATGCCAAAAAATCGCCGGTTCTGGCCAGAAAAAGTGCCGCAAAAACAACCTGCAATGGACGGGGGGCTGCAGGATTACCACAAAAAAATACCATAACACACGGGCAGAGAAGCGAACTCTGTGCCAAACCGATGAAAATGAAGGGTCAGATTCCACGGCAACTAAAAGCTGCACATACACACACACACACACACACACACACACACACACACACACACGATGCAACGATCAGCGACGAACAACGGATCAATCAAATAAATAAACCGAGACACACTGACTCAACCGGGGAAAATTCGGTGACGCGTGGAAATAACAGCGAAAGGCGACGGGCCGTGAAATCGCGTGCGCACTTGGTGAAATTCAAGCTCCCAGCCTTTTATACCTTCTGCTGTTACGACAACTACTAAAACTCGGCTCAGACGGTATCAGGTCCAATTGTGGTAAAGCTAAGAAATGTATACGACTTAATGGACTGAAACATTTCTTCCTACTTCAGTAACCCCTTGCATGATTTTCATCGTTTTTTCTCACACTTCTTCTTTAACCCTAAATACACGAACTGCGAAAGATTTTTCCGGGTGTCTTTTCCCCCCACCCCCCGGACTCCTCCTCCTCCCAACCCCTTCCCCGTCAGCCACTGGTTTCATCCCACAAGGGCAGGGTAACGGTACCCGACGCCCTTGGCGATTTGCCAAGCAGCGTTGGCGAGTGACTCCACAAAATACGTTAGCAGAGAAGCTAGAGCAACGGCTGAGTCGAGTTTTAGTAATCAGGCGCAAAATTCAAATCTACCATTTAATTGTCCAAGGGGATGGGGAGGGGACTGCGTTACGGTTGAGGAGGGATAAGGGAAAATACAAGAAGCACCGGAGAGAACGGAGACGAAGAGGTTTTTTTGTACTGTAAGTAGAAAGAAGGAGAGTACTGTGAGTGAACTCGCTCGGCTTCACTAACTTGCTTGGACAATCCTGTAGCAGCAATCACCAACGCATTTGCTCGATTAGTTGTGCCTGAATGAAGTGAAACCCGAAGCGGTTGCTGCTGATCTTTCAAATATGTCTCAGTCTTGAGACGAGCACCGCACACACACATAAATTTCCAAATACACAGATTATACATTTTACCCTTAACTTAATTAAAATGTACATGACTTAATGGACCGAAACATTTCTTACCATTATAATAATTTTTAATAAAATAATTTCACTAATTTTACTAATTTCTTAATTCTGATTTCGGAATTCCCTCTTCAATTCTCGTTCTTATTTCAATTTATCTTTCTCTATTAATTGAGCAGAACACGTATGTGGAGAAGTGGGTTCTTTTCAAACGCGCTATTTATTTTTTAATCTGAACATAGAAGCCAGGACAAGGGATAGGCGACTAGGATGGAGGAGCGAGGCAGGGGGGAAGAGGCAGAAATCGGGAAGAAGAAGGGTGGGATGGAGAGGAGGGGACCAGGGGAAGATAAGATGAGTTTCCCGACTGGGCCGGGAACATCGCCTTAAAATTCCGGCTTTTTAGCTCCCTTGGTTCCCGAATTAGCAACCTACCCACAAAAAATTTTCACGGGCCCGCAAGTGGGGGCCAGGCACACGTGGGGGTTGAATTTGAAATCATCAAGTTCTACAAGGACGGGGAACATCTCCTTAAAATTTCAGCTTCCTAGCTTTTCTGGTTTCCGAGTTAGCGACCTTACTGTCTGGTGAAAAAGACCAGCGCTCATTAAACGAACATTCTGCACATCATTTTTAGCCCCACCGCGCCAGACTTCTATGATATCACGCCCATAGGTATAAGAAAGGCTTACTACTGAAAAAGAAGCTCCCAGACCCCGTCCTGCGACAATGCATGTGCTGCTTCGAGGCACTGTTCTTTTCTTTGGAGGCTTTCTTTTTTCACTTATTTATGCGTTTTCATATAGCCCGCGGGCTTTGTTTTTCTACATGTGGATGTGTATGGGTAGTGTGCGTGGTATGTTTGCCCGTATATTTCAATATCGAAACCTACGAGAGTTACAAAGCCGACAAGTTAGTCTGCACTTACGTAAGGTATCCCAGGCATTTATACGAAATTCGCCTCCGTTATCTGGCCCTCTTTTCCCTCCTCTTTCCAGAGCTTCGAAATCTGCTCGCTGTCTGAAAAAATTCGCCTTTTCCCGATTATGCTCAACAGCTGTAATTCGTCTTTTTTTCTTAAATTATGCATAGGTTTTACAAATTCAATGTGTGACGTCAGCATCCCAGCAACACGTTCAGCTCTTCTCACGTTTGTACTTCGTTAACAATTTCTTGTGCT